GTGGTCGTCAAGGCGGACCTGCTGGACTTTGGGGATGTTGTGCGTGTCACACATGGCGCTTCGCCACCTTCCGACGGGACAATCGTTAGGGGCGAGAGCAACTTTGACGAGTCCAGCTTGACGGGCGAGTCACGGCTGGTAAAGAAAGTACCGGGCGATGAGGTGTTCTCGGGGACGGTTAACAAGAACGCGTCGCTTTTGGTGCGCATCACCGGCGTGGCGGGGACGTCGTTGCTGGACCAGATCGTCCACGTCGTCCGGGAGGGCCAGACGAAGAGGGCCCCGATCGAGCAGGTTGCGGATATGATGACGTCGTACTTTGTTCCGGTTGTCACCTTGATCGCCGTCCTCACTTGGATCATCTGGCTGTCCCTCGGCCTCGGCGGCCACATTCCGACCCATTACCTGGATGTCACCTCGGGCGGCTGGGTTGCGTTTTCGTTGCAGTTTGCCATATCGGTCTTCGTCGTGGCCTGCCCCTGTGGTCTCGCTCTCGCGGCCCCGACAGCCATCTTCGTTGGTAGTGGCCTTGCGGCGAAGCACGGCATCCTCGCCAAGGGCGGTGGTGAGGCGTTTGAGAAGGCCAGTAGGATCGATTGCGTCGTTTTTGACAAGACGGGGACCTTGACCATGGGCGGTGAGCCGAGCATCACCGACTCCGAGATCTACCGGGAAGACGCTTCCCAAAGGGATGCTGTCCTCGCAGCTCTCAAAGCAGTCGAGGAGAACAGCAGCCACCCCATCGCCAAAGCCATCGTCGCCTTCTACGCCACCCACACCACCTCCCGAGCCAACATCGACAACCTTCAGGAAGTTCCCGGGAAAGGGATGAAAGCAACATACCACAGCTCTTCCACGCCCGAATCGTCCTTCGAACTCGCCGTTGGCAACGAGTCTTTCATGTCCGACTTTTCCGTTTCCATCACATCTGAGACAACAGCCACCCTCCAGCGCTGGAAATCCGAAGCCAAGTCGGTCGCCTTGGCCGCCACCCGACCCCTCGACGGCGAGAAGTGGACCCTCGCGGCCGCGCTCTCCATCTCGGACCCCATCCGCCCCGAGGCCCCGCGCATCATCAAGGCCCTCCAGTCCCGCGGCACCCGCGTCTGGATGCTCTCGGGCGACAACCCCACCACGGCGGCGGCCGTCGCGCAACAGCTGGGCATCCCCGACGACCAAGTCATCGCCGGCGTGCTGCCGACGGGCAAGGCGGAGAAGATCAAGTATCTGCAGTCGACGCTGCGGGCGCGCGTGGGCGACAAGGCCGAGTCCAGCACCAAGCGTGCCATGGTCGCCATGGTCGGCGACGGCATCAACGATTCCCCGGCGCTGGCGACAGCCGACGTTGGCGTGGCCATCGGGTCTGGCGCGGATGTGGCGATCAGCAGCGCCGATTTCGTGCTGGTCAAGAGTGACCTGCGCTCTGTGGTCGACCTCCTGGATCTGTCCAAGGTGGTGTTCACGCGCATCAAGTTCAACTTTGGGTGGGCGGTGGTGTACAACTGCATCGCGCTGCCCGTGGCGGCCGGCATCTTCTACCCCATCATGAGCAACGGGCAGCATGTGCGGTTGGACCCGGTGTGGGCGAGTCTGGCGATGGCGTTGAGCAGTATAAGTGTGGTGCTGAGCTCGCTGGCGCTGAGGGTGCGGATGAATGGGATTGGGTACAGGGAGAGGCAGATTGAGTGAGCGAGTTATTTTGCGTGCGTTAGTTTTCTTGGGTTGTGCTGGCGGCCTATGAGAATGGGTGGTTGGGTTGGACAGACAGCATGCATGTGTTAGGTTGGTTTTTGCTCGTTACATACTTCGTACGGATAGATACCCATAGTTTTATTCAATGTCTTGTGTCCTGTCTCACTGAGTTCTTTATGCCTGGGGTGTTGGTGAAACAGTTGGCCCACTTGACTCACCATCGACGGATGAGGCCTTGTACCTTGACTTGGAGGACCTGCAGCTTGGGAAAGGAGTTGTCTTCGGTCTTGGTGGAAATGAGATAAATATCCACACTGTGCATACATACTGTGATGTGCATGCCAAGACTTGCGATCTGTGCAGCTGAGCTCCTGGGAGCTCAAATCTGGCCGAGCCTGGTTCCAAAATGTGTAGTCAACATGAACAAACAACGGAAGGAACCCAAATCCGTCCCGTTCATCTGATCTTCAGCCTTGCATCTTGACCAATTCGTCATTACCCCACACATTTGTCCGATTTTGTAGCCACAAAGAGCAGCCCGATTCTTTCTCCTCGCTTGAAAGCAACGACTCCAAACAGTGGGGGTTCGTCACTACGGTGACCACACTCTGCCGCACCCAACTCCAGCCGCGGCACAGCCGCTGGGAACACACACAGTACACGGCAGAAGGACCCCATCTCGGCGCAAAGTCAAAAATGAATTCCAATGTGAAGCGCAAGTTCAATGCGCTTCTCCAGGGCATCGGCAACCGCCCACCAGCCGAATACGGCACCGATCGCGACAACCTAGCCGATCCTGCATCCTCGCCCATTTCGCAGCGCTCATCGCCGCAACGGCCGAGGACAATGGCGGGCGACAGCAGCGCCGACCTGCTGAAGAAGCGCCGCACCGGCGGACCGACGACCACACCCTCAAAATACACAACACTACAAACCACCCCGATGCGATCCTCGCCCGCGAGCATACGCAGCGTCCCGCCGTCCACGACGACCATCTCCAACGTCACCCTGCGCAAATGGACCCCCGGTGCCGGTAGCCCAGCGCCCGACGGAAGGGAGGGGCTTCCACCGCCGCCGAAATACTGCCCGGGCGACCGCGACCAGCTGCTGCGGCGGCTCGCGACCTTCCAGGAGCTGACGGACTGGACGCCGAAACCCGACCGCGTCAGCGAGGTGGAGTGGGCGAAGCGCGGCTGGGCGTGCCAGGGCAAGGAGCGGGTTAAGTGCACGCTCTGCGGCCGCGAGCTGGTGGTCAAGGTGAACCGGAAGGAGGTGGACGGGAAGGAGGTCGCGGTGCTGATCGCGTCCGAGGTGGCCGAGTCGGTCGTGGACGCGTATGCTGAGCTGATTGTCGAGTCGCATGCCGAGGACTGTCTGTGGAGGAAGAGGGGATGCGATGGTATGTTTTTCGTCTACGGGCTGCCCGCCACCCAAGTCCTCGTGTTTACTGTGTATAACTACTAACAACTGCGCAGACTCCCTCCTACGCCTGCCCCTCCCGAACCCGAAGCTCGCCCTCCAAGGCCTCCGCCAACGCTACGACGAACTCTGCGAGCGCGCGCCCTTCCTCCCCTACGAATCCAACCTCCGCCTCCCACCCACCCTCGACCTCGACACCATCATCACTCACCTCCCCGCGGACTTCTTCACCTCCCCACCCCCACCCCCCAACAAAACCAACCCCACCACCACCACAACCACCACCACAACCCCCGCCCCCGAAAACGCACACCCCCAACCCAACCGCCCCGCCCTGGCCCTCGCCCTCCTCGGCTGGCAATCCCTCACCCACCCGCACCTCGGCACCCCCGTGCCCAACAGCGCCTCCTGCCACACCTGCCTGCGCCGCCTCGGCCTCTGGATGTTCAAGCCGCGCGAGGTCGACCCCTCCTCGGGCGCCGTCCTGGTGCCCGCGCCCATGGACCACCTCGATCCGCTGAGGGAGCACCGGTTTTTTTGTCCGTGGAAGAATCCGGAGGCGCAGCGGAATCCGGGTGGAGGGGGGGTGGTGAGGGCGGCGGCTTCTTTGATGAAAGGTGGGGAGGGGGGGGTGGTGTTGCCGGCGGCGTGGGAGGTGTTGGTTGTGGGGTTGAGGAATGAGGCGTTTATTCGGGAGAGGGTCGCTGGTGATGGTGGTGGTGGTGGTGGGGGGGGCAGTCGCAAGAAGAAGGGCCGGGGTGTGGTGTCGGGCCAGGGTCAGGGCCATGGCCGGAGCAAGAGTAGTGTTCCTGCTCCCGGCTCGAGCGGTGGTGCGGGTGCGGATGGGGCGGCGGTGCCCAAGACGCCGGAGAGGCCGGTGACGGTGGATGGGCGGCCGCGGGGTTTGGTGGGGGGTGAAGATGAGGACGGGGAGGAGGAGGGAAGGGAGGGTGAGGTGGATGATGAGGAGGCGAGGGATAGGAAGGATCGTGATATGATGTCGAGGCTGCGGCGGGTCAAGAGTCTGTTTAATACCAAGGCGGGCGGGAAGTTACGGAAGCTGGGCTCCAGCAGGCCGGGCACGTCGCATTCGAATGTGGGTGGTGGGGAGTAGTTAGTTCTGGGTGGGTTGGGTTTCTATGTTTTGAGAGGATGGTGGAAACAGCACAGGGGGTAATGAGCGGGCGCAGGGCTTGGCATGTGTATTGTTATTTTGGTCTTGAAGCATGCAAAAAGGGGATGGGCTCTTGCGTTAGGGCGGGGGTCAATCAACTCCGCGATAATAAATAAATTGTACTAGTAAAAGTTGACGTTCAATCTTTGCTTCCCTAAGGATCAACCGCAAGTAGATAGGGGTTTTTGTTCATCCGACTCTATTCGTACCTTCCCTCAAATTATTATCCAACAAGTGAGTCAGTTATGAGGAAGGGCGTTCTACCACCACTCATCGATGGTGTGACGAACCTACTTCAGGATCCTATCCTGTTAGGGTTCAGCTTCGTTGAAGGTAATCTCTCGAGGATGCTTAGGTTCGGTGCAGCCAAAGGGTGCACAACAATAGACTTGTCTCAACAGTAGGCTTGCGAGCTTATAGCGAACTGTTGAGACAAGTCTATTGTTGTGCACCTTTTGGCTGCACCGAACCTAAGCATCCTCGAGAGATTACCTTCAACGAAGCTGAACCCTAACAGGATAGGATCCTGAAGTAGGTTCGTCACATCTTAGGTTTTATTATACAAAGCTTAATTAGGAAATAAATTTGAATAAACTTAGCTATTCTTATTATAAAAGTAGTGTAAAAAGAGAGAAAAGGTAAATAAAAATCGATAATTTCATTCGCACGTTGTATTTAATAGTGGAAAGATGACATCAAAAATTCATCCGAACTTGGGGCTGTCCGGGGATTGAACCCGGGACCTCTCGCAGAACAGTGTTAACCCAAAGCGAGAATCATACCGCTAGACCAACAGCCCATCTTTGTCTCATGTGCGATATCGGAGGTAATTTAATCTGAATGGCCCTCTTCGGGGAAAATTAGCTGGCAGGATTTGCACCACGAACTGGTGTAAATAAAGCTGCCTTGGGAATTCTTCTATCCTTTAAAACTTCTTTTAAGTCTGTATCTCATTTTATATTATCTCAATAAAGATCAGACATGATCGATGGATTGACTGGGTCAAGGCAGTCAGGCATCACCCGTCCCAGATTTTGTCCCTAAAAGTTCAACTGCGATAAGAAACCGCACCCGTTGAGCAACGACGAAGATAAGAAGCTGCCGTTGTTTAGGGGCGCCGAGAAGGTGAATCTGGGCCTGGTGGTTCGCTTTCTTTTTCGGTTAAATAATTTCCAACTTGGTAGAGCGTGTGCGCGGGTTAAAGAAAAATGTTTTTTTTTTGGGGCGGGGAATTAAAACGGTTGGGAACGCGCATGCGTTCAGTTTTTATTTCCGTTTCCTAACTCCATTTCCGCTCCTTCCTTTTCTCTTTCTGGAGGTTGTGATCCTAACATCGCGTTGTAATCTTTTCTTGGCTAACCAAACGAAGCCGCGCGCCAAACGAGCCAACCATGGACTGCGCAATGCGCCTAACTAACTTCAACGTCGCCTCGTCGCCTGACGGGCACACACGCCCAGCTACCTAGGCAAGGCAAGGCTGAGGCGGGGTCGGGATGTTAACCCCTCGGCGTGTTTGCCGTCTGCATCCTTGAGCCTCTCTCTTTTTCGTATCCGTTATTGTCGGAAAGGCATAACTACTAGTAGTCTAGGTTCTGTTCTTTTCAGTCTTCGAAGTCCGTCGTGAACATGGCTGAATCGGAGCTGCAGGTCGGGAGGCTCGACCTGGCCACCCGAGCCCTGGACTTAACCACATCGCTGCTGACGGCAACATCCACCTCCAACTTCCTCCTCAAGGGCGCCTGGGAAATCGGCCAGTGGCTCGGCCGGGAGCGGCTGAACCAGCATGAGCTCCTCGACTGCATGGAAAAGGCCAAGGGCCTCGCGTTTGCTAACAGAAACGGGCTCGAATTCTTTGACAAAGTCGTCTCGGGCACCGACGCCCTCCCTGTCGGGCCCCTGTTCCTGCAGCAGTCGGGGTCGCTGGGCCGGCTTATGGCCGGTGACCCGAACCTGAACTGGATCGTGTCAACGGTGGCGGGCCTTTTCCAGCATCACAGCGATGACCGCCTCGTGGCCGCGAAGGTGACGGCGCTCATCATGGGAGTCCACCAGGCCCAGAGGCAGGGCCACGAGCAGGGAAACGAAGTCTCGATTCCCTTCCTCGACGCATCGACGTACAAACCGACGCACGGTAGGCTGAACGCCGTTGTGACCAAGATTGCCTCGAGCGTGTGGTTCAATGTCGTCAACGTCGGCTGCGACACCATCCCGCTACCCCAGGAGCTGCTCGATCTGTGCCCGACGGGTCATTACCTAGCGCCTAGCGACTTTGGCCTTGTTATCAGCACCATCCACACCCGTTGCCGATCCAAGGCCGTCCTTCGCACCGACCACCTCTTGCGGGACGTCCTCCAGTGGCTCCTCTTGCACTATGATGGAACCATCATTGTCAACACGGGTGGGCAGATCGTCTACCGCGCCGACCTTGGGAACCGTCACCGGGAGCTGGAAGTGCGCGTTTCGTCGGTGTGCTCCAAAAGCTACAACTGTGGGGCCGCCACAGCGGAGTCGTATAAGATTCTCCACGACATATCGGGCAGTTTTGAGGAGTTCCTCGCGGGAGCTTCCTACAGGGACTCTGACGACCTACCCCAACGACCGGGAATCAGGCAGAAATTGTACGACATTCCCCAACTGTACTCCAGCTTTATGTACACAAAGGACCTGGAGAATCTTGTGGAAACCTCTGCGCAGTTGATTTTGCGATGGCTGCTCAAGGTCCCGTTGTTCGGGACGTCGTTTCCCACTAGGCGAGATTGCTATACCCCGGGTTTCGATGCTACACCAGGGAGGTCGGCGGAGGAAGGGGCCATGACGGTTGCCCTGGTCCTCGAGAGGATCCCGGCCATGATTAACCTGCAATGGGGCAACCCGCCCGCTTCTCTAGCTATCATTGGCGATGACACCTATACGTCCTCCAACGATTTCCCAAGAGCTCCCGAGGACGAGACCCCATGGACGATGGAGCGCCGGTTTGGTATCCTTCTCGATTCCTTCCCGGCTCTCTCCTCTCTAGGGAAGAAAGCGACGGCGGAATGTTGGTGCCCGGATTGCAGTCAGAGAAACAGGTTCACTCCTCGTGTTTTCCGACCTGGCTGCCTGATACGGACCGCTCTAGAAGACGTCTTATTGCTCTTGGCGCACGGTATCGCCGATGGATTCGGTGTCAACGATGTTTCGTCCGGTTCTAAGACCGGGCCAATCGTCGAAGGTATGGCCGTACTACTTATGGAATTGATAACGGAAAGGAAGGTTTTATGGGACACCTGGTTCATGGTAGCATCGTGTGTTTACCTCGGCTGTCCGTTCGAGACACCCCCTACGCCATCGGACCATATTAACGGCGCGACTTCGTTCGCGGCCATCCAATTTGGGAACTTGGCAACGTCGGCACCTTGGCTAGACTTATCACGGGAGATTGTGGGCCGGGGATGCTTCGGCTTGGTCGCGTCCAAGGGACGACTCGGAGTGGTGACGAAGAGCGATCGCCAGGAGATGCAGTTTCGGACCGTCGAGGATAATTTTGCGATCATCGAAACCGAGATGACAGAGGATACGGCTTTGTTCACTTCTAGGTACAAAAAGGCGGCCTCAAATCTGGATCGTGACTTTTGCTTGGACAAAGACAAGTCCGCCGTGGAAAGCGACGTGATCCTGTGGCAAGCAGACGACAAATTTTACCGACTCCTGCTCCGGGTCAAGACCAATAACCACTGGCGCGCCGTCGACCCAAGCTCTGTGTTAACCGCAACGATCGAAATGCCTCACACATCGGCCCGTTGCCAACACGCAGCTCAGCCCCCGGAAATGCCGCCTTCGACCGTGAGGATCTACACCCTTGACGAAGTAGTTGGGAGATGGCCAGAGCCGCCAGGCGGCGTTCGGACCCCCTGGAAAAACAACACGCCAGATGAGGTTGACACCTACTACCTGACCAACGTTTTGGACACCCACATGAAAAAGAACGTTACCCTTGCTATTTCTGTGGACACAAGGGTGGTGCTCAACTTCCCCGAGCTCGCATGCCTACCGTGCACGCTCCGCCACGCGAGTGATGCAAAGAGAAAGTTCAGAGGCACCCAGCGTAGCGAGGCCAAGGACACCTCCTGCTATATTATCAATCTCGGGACTCGGCTCGCAGACCGGCATGGTGGCGCATTGCAGATAGGCTCCTCGGTTGATGCCGACGGTTAGACGCGACATGAATGATGAGCTCTGGTATGCGTGTACATCTGGCGGAATTATCTGTCTCTTCCAGCCCCCCGCGTACTTTAAATTAAAAGTTTCTTCTCCATTACACCGTTTGTACGGCCCCGCAGCTCTTCGCGCGTGAAAGATGAGCTTTGGGTCCCCAAGACGGCGGACGAGTGGGGAAGGTGATTGACGAGGTTGTCGACCATATCGCCAGCGCTCGCCAACGCGGTAGCGAATCGATTGTTGGTTTCCACTGGCCGTCTCGTCCATCAGCACAGAACCTCAGGACTCAGATGCTTATCAGCGATGGGCACTGACCCTCCAGCGACCAGAAGGAGGGATCGACTGCGTATCGTTAGGTGGCTTAGCGTCATACCTTATCAATGTTCTCTTCGACCATGGTGCACTGGCCATTGTTTGAGAGATGGGTGGGAGCTGTGGTGGCGAGTTCATGGCTTGGAGCCGACTGACTGGGTAACGACGGTGTACCCCCAGACGGATACCGCGTCTCGCGTCTGCCTTCTCACTTGGTATGTGTTGTACAGCAAGTCGCAGCTTGCCTATTTGGACCTGCAGTCCCGCCATGGTTCTCTTGTTCTTTAGGTCTTGCCCTTGTACCTCAGCCCTAACAGACGCCTCAATGAGCTTCTTGACCGGGCTATCCCGCGACCGAAATTGGGAGCGGATTAGCAAATATGCTTCCGGTGTACCCGTCACAGGTAATCCCTATATGCCGGGACGGTAGGGTGCCAGTTTGATCTGACAGAGCCCTCAAAGGTGAGATCAATGGTATTTGAGACAGACAGCAGGACTTGAGATGGACGGGAGAACTTGAGACGGACATATCTTTTATCACATATCTTGAGATAGGCATTGCAACATGAGATATATTCAAAGACAAAGTGTGGTGGGAGTGATAAGAGATTTGCGAGCGAAATAAGTATCTACCCCTAAACGTAGATTTTAAATCCTCCGTACCTGCCGTTCTCTAAACGAGGAGGCCGGCGGCAAAGCAAAGGTGGGCTCGCTTGAGTCTCCCCTTTGTTTCTCCAGCTGCTCTTGACGATCTCTTGAACTCGTCCTCGCTGATGCTTGGCGCAATCTTGATCGTCAAATCCCCAGCTTTCTGCTGGTTCCCAGAAGATGCTGAGCTTCTCTGGATCGAGTACAATCGCAAGGGGCAGGAAAGGCAGGATGGTTCCCAGACGATGCCGAGCTTCACCTCCGTGGCGGTGCAAATCTTTCTAGCCCGCGCCAATGGGGCGGGTCAGCCAGGGTTCTTTGTGGGTGGCGTCCCGAGCAACCAACCATCGAGCCTAGGTACCTCCAGGTGGCTGTAGACCGGGAGCCGGCTTGTGTTCCTACATCCCGGTCTTGAATGCTATGCACACCTCATCCCTCTGCCGAGGAACGACTCGTGTTTCTGGTCGCGCCTCGATATGGATAAGTGGTTTAATTTCCTCAACGATCTCGCGGCCCTCAAAAACCTTGATATCGACGACTCCACTGGACGTCTAGCTTTCCGCAGGAACCTCGTTGCCGGACTAGTCTGGCAACAAATCTGCCGTGTTCACTGCAAATCTACTCGCACCCGCCGCGCCCTCC